AGCCTGACAGGACTGTCAGACCTGCTGCACTGATTCCAGGTGAAGCCAGGTGGTCTAGTCATTCCTCTGAAAAACAGAGCTGTAAAATAATTACACAAAGGACAGACAAGACAAGTCACATCTCAGCACATCCTTCCTGGCCTCATATTACTGTAATCCTTCTATGAAGCCAAAAGGAGGAAAGGTATCAAGGAACTGCCAGGGGAATGGGATGCATTGCTACCCACCAGTCTCCAACATATAACTTCTGTGGAGGGTAACAGCTGTCAGAATTACCAAGGCACACATCCCTTTGACCAAGCCAGTCTCCTCTGAGGAATTAATCCTGCAAATGCATTCATGTAGACCAAGTGTTGCCTGCAATACAAAAGACTGGGAACAATCAAACATTCACCAAAGTGGAGCTAGCCAGATTCACCAAGGCACCTCCATAAGGTGCAATACTATGATGTTCCCCCGCAACAAAGAAAAGAACACCAGCAAATTCTGTGTTTCACTGCATAATCAATTGTTGCCACTGCAATAAAGCATATTTACAGGTATTCCTTGCATCCTAATCTTGTACCAAAGACAATTTTGTAATAAATGATTTTAAAGTAATATCATCACAGGGCTGGGGTTGTGGCTCAGTGGCAGAGCATTTGCCTAGCATATGTGAGGCACTGGGGTCAATTCTCAACACTGCATATAAATAAATGAATAAAATAAAGGTTCATCAACATTTAAAATATATTTTTTAAAAAAGTAATATCACAGTTTTTTTTAAAGCTTTACATAATGGTCACACCTCACTTCTTTGGAAAAAAAATTTTGGCATAAAATCTGTGATGATGATGATGATGCAGTAAAATACAGTTCTTTATTATCTCCAGAGACGGGGTACAAGGAAAAGCAAGGTGCAAAACAAACATACAGTATTTTTACCATTCACATTTTTTAAAAGGGAGAGTTCACGTAGAGTAGAGTACCCAGGAGTACACGAACCACCTCTGTAAGGATACACGAGGAGCTGCCAGCAGTGATCTGGCTCTGGGAAGAGAAACTGGGAGGCAGGCTGAAAGCAGCGGGAAGGAGCCTGCCCATAGCACACCCTTCCCCTCCTGTCTTCTGGTTTCTGAATCAGAAGACATTTAAAAATCTGATATTTAAAGAAAGGGCAAAAATAACAGCCATTTTTATCTATGACTTTATGTAGCCAAAGAAAATGCTGGCAAACCCAAGTGTGGCCCCTTAATTCTGACCCCTGAAACCCAAGTGTGGGAACTCCTGCCCCAAGGGCAAACCCAGACTGCAGAGCACTAATTCAGCCTTTTCCACTGAGCTGGAGAGGACTAAAACCCAGCTAGACTCACAAGCCTTTCTCTAGAGATTAAGCAGACAAGCTTTTGCTAAATTACTTTGTTTCTTCTCCTTAGAAAACTTTTATTAACAGAGCTTGCTTGGTTGCTTGACAAGTACCAGTTTGTGAAAATCTGTGTGTAATGCTGTTTTAACACTCCAAAGCCAGGAACACACTGGTGCTCAGTGAGTATTATGATGCATACACAACAGACTGGCCAGTAACATACATGACTGGGTAGATCTGAACCATTATTACCCGATGCTTATGCAGCTGTGGTGCCTATAACATGCTAATGTGGTCAGCATACGGTGCAAGGACATTTTCTACCTAACAGTTACCACCACCTCTGGAGTGCTTCTACAGTTAGGGAGAGCTAGGTTCTTGGCTAAAATTCTATCTCAGCATTTGCTTTTACTATCTACTTTTATCACAGTTATAATCAATAATGCACTACAGCTAAACCCCAGTTCTGTATCAGGTACAAACAAAGATAAACTAAACCCTCTGTTCTCACAAAGCATTCATGTGAATCCTAGATATACAGGCCAGAGGCACAGACACAAACCCCAGTGTATCCATGGCTCCAGGCAAACTCCACTGCTAATTGTCTCTCACCAACCTCATAAAATGTGCCCAACTCATGTTGCCAGGCAGAAGCACAGACATAGCCAAAACATGGTAGTCACAAGCAAAACGACTCTGAGCCTTACACATGAGACTATTTGGGAATTATGACATTACATTATAGAATAGCAGGATGACACTAAAATTTTACAGAGCCACCCGTTACATGGCTTAACTCACATGGAAACTGTACCCCACAATGCTTAAAAAATATAAGTTTTTTTCTGAGGAAGCAGAATATCTATTAGAGTCAAGCAGATGGAAAGTGATATAGAGGAAGCTTTGCATCCATCTTACTCTGGAACGGGTAGCATTCATGATGGAGACTCATCTCAACACAAAACTCTTATCAGCCAATCACTCACGCAAGGATCTGGAGTTTGGTGTCGTGCTCACAAAACATTTGGATGACTAAATGCTACTGACAGTCTTCCAGTTGATATTTTAAAACATCTGTACAAAAAACTTTCTGCCACTCCTAATTTTAAAACAACAATGAAAAATATCAGGTAGTAAGTTATTTGAAAAGGAGGATAGGAGGGAAAAAGAGGAAAGATCATGAATTGAAATCAATTTTCATGCATGTATGAGTTTGTCAGGTTGAACCCAACTACTATGTGTAATTATAAAGCTCTAATTTTAAAAAAAAGTTATTTGAGAGACTACATAATTTTATTTTTTTAATATTTATTTTTTTAGTTTTTTAGGTGGAACCAATATCTTAATTTTATTTTCATGTGGTGCTGAGGATCGAACCCAGTGCCTCCCACATGCCAGGTGAGTGCACTACCACTTGAGCCACATCCCCAGCCTGGAGAGACTACATAATTTTAAACATGAATTTTATTAAAATTAATGTATTAGCCAACTGATCTCATAATTAATGATTTTAAACAGGCTGAAAATTTTGAGAGTCATCAAAAACAAAAACAAAAATAAAAACAACAACAACAAAAAAAAAACACCTGCTTACATCTGCATCTAAAGGATCCTTCCAGAGATGTGAATGTAGCTCAGACAGTGTGCCTAGTACCCACGAGGCCTGGGGTCTGATCCCCAGCACTGCAAAGAAAAGGAGGGGAATCCTTCCAGTCCAATTTTATGCTGAACTATCCCTTTAACATTGAGTTTCTCAAATCTATTCACTACAATTGTCTCTTTATAGTAATAAATCCATTCAATAGGACCTGCTGGATGAAAAATTTATTAAAAGTTTGAAAAGAGGTTGGGGGTGTAGTCAGTCCATGCTTAGCATGTGGGAAGCCATGGGTTCCATTCCCAGCACCACACACACACACACACAAAAAAAATTAAACTGGATTGAAAATATGAAAAAATTGGGCTAGGGGTATAGCTCAGTGATAGAATTCTCACCTAGCATGTATGAGGCCCTTGGTTTGATCCCCAGTATCACAATTTAAACAATATAAAAAAGGCCTTTCAAAAATATATACGAAAAATTTAAAAATAGTCTCTTTCTCAATAAGTGAGCTTACCAGTATCAGAAAATAAAGTCCAGAGCATAAAAAAGGAAACTGCCTTAGAACTCCAATTCTTGCTCCTTCCCTCTTCACAGGAAGATGAAACTCAGGAGTTTTGGCACCACGGACTTCCCAGCCACAGTGCATCAGATCTGCTCCAGCCCAACAGGCTGACCCCAGCACCGAGGGCAGCCTCCTCACAGAGATTTCAGTATGCCACACATATTTTCTCAGTCTTCTGGGGTGAAGAATATGTGATTAGAATTCAGGATGCTTCAATTCTTGAGTACTGACTAAGCTGTAAAAATAGGGGCACGTACATAAATGACCTTACAGGTGAAATACAAAGGATGTGAAAATCACCACCAGAGACCAGAGTCCAACTGAGGGGTAAAAATAACTACTCAGCACGGAGGGATAATTAACTCTCCTGTGCTAGGGACTACTGCTTAAAAGCTTCACATGTATCTTTTCATTTAGTCCTGCAACAATGGAACTCCATTTTATAAATGAGGAAAACAGCATAAAGAGGGTAAGCAACCTGCCCAAAGTCACACGAGGTAGTAGGCGAGAGAACGGAGCTGTGCATGTACAGAACCTCGTTCTTTCTATAGTCACATACTGCAATGTGGAAAGGAGTCTCCTTCCTTAGGAGAAGTCTGCTGCCAAAGGAGTCCTTGGCTTCAGATGTTCCTTCCCAGGAATCCTACCAACTGCCAGCCGTGATGGGAGCAGACAAATTGGAAGAAACACAAAACCAAACAAAAACTTCATTTCTTTCTCCCCGATCCCACAAAAGCAGAGTTCTATAAATCAGCTTGGTCTACAGTCAGAATAGTAAAAAACAATGGGATAATGAAATTTAGTCATCATTCAAAGAATTTCAACTAAAAATGTGTCTCTCTGCATCTCACTCAAAGAGTACCAGAAGGTAGTTTGATACCCTGTTGGTGAGAATGTAAATTTTGATGCAACCTTTCTAGAGTGTAATTTGGCAATGTCCGTCCACATCTCAATGCACATCCTACAGATACACCACACAGGATTGTTTTCAAGTTGCAACATGCTGTGCAGCATTGCCAGTGACAGCCAAAACAATGAAAGCAAGGGAAAGGATAAGCAGCCTGTGGACCGTGAACACACACTGGATCTGGGTAAGAGAGCCTAGTATACTGGACCATGAAATGCTCTCTGAGGCATGGTAATGAGTGAAAACACTGGATACAGAATAGCATGAATATTATCAATACTATGATCTCATTCCTACAGATATGTTTTTAGTAAGCAAATGTACCTATCTATGAATTAAACTTCACTATAAGAATATAAAAAAATTACTAATGGTTTCTTCAGTGCAGTGGGGTTGAAAAAAGGGAAAAGAAAGGAAATAATCACTTTTCACTTTGTATCCTTGGAAGTGCTTGAATTTTTTTCCTAAGCGGATATAATTGCCCTAATACATCTGAAAAGAAATAAGATCAGCTTTAATTTTTAATTGCTTTGTGAAAAATAAAGTCTGTCTTGCTTTTTGTTAATCGTGCATCTTTCTGTACCTTGTTTCCTTCATACACCCATCCTAGACTCTTTACACCAAAAGCCACCTGGTTGGCTGAGACATCTAAACATGTGACAGGCTGGCCGTAGACATAATGGAGGGTTCTGGCTGAGTCTTCAGCTTTTAGCAGGTATACCAGGTCTCCAGCAGTGGCCACTGCCACAGGGTACCTTCCAGTATCTGGAACTATTTCAAGGTAGTCAACCTGTTGAAGGATAAGAGTTGTTTAGTCCTACAATGTCCTCCAACATGGTCAAAAATAGCAAATTACTTCTATACATCAATAAAAAGACCAGCAACCCAACAGAAAAAGACAAGCAAAGGGACTGTTTACAGAAATGAAACACCGTTTTTATTTATTTATTTATTTATTTATTTATTTATTTTGTGCTTATTCTTATCTTTATTTAATTTTCCTATGTAGGATTTCAGATAACTAGAAAATGAATAAAGCCACTAAACCAACACCAGTTTCTCTGACTTGATTCTGATGGGAGTAGCTGGGGTCTGGTAGATTTGCATGAGCCATGGAGAAAAGAGAATAGCAATCACCCCTCAACATTATCATGCCCAGGTATTCCTGCTGGGCATTCAGAACTCATTCTTACCCACTTCAGTGGTTTGGATCTGGAATGTTCCCCTAAGGCCCTTGTTAAAGATTTGGTTCTTAGCTTGACACTAATGGGAAGTGGTGGAATCTTTAAGAGGTGGGACCTAGTGAAAGGAATTTAGGTCATTGGGGGTGTGCCCTCGAAAAAAACTGTGGGACCCCTACTCACTTTTTCTTTGCTCCCTGGCTTGTGATGTAAACAGAATTTGAAACACCGTTTTTTAAAAAAATATTTTTTTAGTTGTAGATGGACCCATTTATTTATTTATTTACTTTTATGTGGTGCTGAGGATGGAACCCAGTGCCTCACATGTGCTAAGCCAATGCTCTACCACTCAGCCCCACAAACAGTTTTTGCTCAAATGAAATGATGTTCATAGTGAAAGATACACAATACACCCCTGAAAAGTAAAACACGGAGTGAAAACTCATTTTTCACCTGACATATCAGTGAAGATCAGTAAGTCTAAGAACACATTGGGTTGGGACACTCATGTTTATGGTTACCACTTGCTATTGGTGGGGATAAAATCTGGTCCAGCTCATCAAAGGAAATCTGACAATTCTTCCAAAATGTCAAATGAACACACTCTCACACCCAGCAAGTCCACTTCTGAGAATGTACTTGTAAATAAACCCATATGCAAAACAATTGTGGGCAATGTTATTCATTGCAGTGCTATTTTGTCATAGCTAAAAACTGGAAAAGTTTCAACATTCACTATCAAAAGACTAATTAAATAACTTAAAATACATCTATATGGGGCTGGGGATGTGGCTCAAGCGGTAGCGCGCTCGCCTGTCATGCGTGCGGCCCGGGTTCGATCCTCAGCACCACATACAAACAAAGATGTTGTGTCCGCCGAGAACTAAAAAAATAAATAAATATAAAAAAAAAAAAAAAAAAAAAAAAAAAAATACATCTATATATTGAGATACCATGCAGTCACAGAAGAAAGCATGAAGATATTTTTTATAAACTGATACAAATGGGATACCTCCAAGATAAATCTGAAGGAGAAAGTAAGGATGCAAGCAAGGTAAGAGGATTTCTAGTGTGCTAATGTGTGTAAAAGACGGGGACAGAGAAGTATACAATGCATGAACCTTCCCACAATTTCCCTCCTTCAGGGAGGGAAATGGGCTGTGAGACTAGGTGCCAAGGGGACTGCCCACTGTTAGTGTTTCCCAATGTGTCTTTTAAATTCTGAACTGTGAGGGTATACTAGCTATTTGAAACAAAACAAAATATATTTTTATTTTTGTACAAGAAACCAAGAAAATAAATTCATTCAGTGCAAAATTAACAAAACCACATTTTAACAAATTTGTGTAAATGCCATAAATATGTTACAAAAAGGTTAAAAAAGATTATCTGAGTTAACTGCTATCACCCAGTTTCCATGTCAGGCAATGATTCCAAATGATTTCATTTGGCCACCCAGGGGTAGGAAGCCAGCATTTCAGTACTCCAGACTACACTAGACTACACTAGACTACACTAGCGCTAGCGCTTTCTCTAATTTGCACGGGATGAGGAACCTTTCAAAAATTATTTGCTTTCTTCTATTCTTGAGGGGCACATTTCTTTCTAGTGCAGTTCACACCAAGTTTTCCCTCCTTGAATAAATTATGAGAGCATGAGTGCTGAAGGTGAGACACACTGTGTAATTATGAAAATCCACGGTGTAAAAGAACAGCACTGCCCTGACAGCATACCAAATGAGTTCAAAATCCTGAATTCTGAAGACTGTCCAGAGGAGCTTGAAAGACAGTAAACATCCGGGTCACTCTACTAATCCTTGGGCTCAACCATGTAAGTAGCAGCCCAACACCCTGAGCCATGGGTCCATCACAAAGGACGGATGCTCCAGGCTAACACTGCAAACCTGGGAACACTGCCACTGCTATTCAGGAAGCATGTCTGGGGAAAAAGAAAACGTTCAGCTTTCTGGGCTGGGGAGTACTTTTTCTACGGATACCCAGCACACCCTGTGGCACCTCCTTACCCAGGGTAAGAAATAGACATAAAAATGTATTATAACACACACCTCCAACAATGCTTCATCTCTTTTCTAAAACTCACTCCTCATTTTCCTAAAGTGGACATTCCAAGTCCAGCCATTTAACTTCATCTTGACATTGGATTTTTGACAGACCAAAAGGCTCAGATTGACAGTGGTTGTGCCATTTGCTGGGAGCTGTAAAGTACTTCAAAAAGCTTCCAGTCTATGCCAGGACACCTTATTGCCAAGGCAGGATTTATACCTTATGGGGGATTCGCATTTTTTTTTTAAATCAGGAATTGAATCCAGAGGCGCTTAACCAACAAGTCATATCCCCAGCCCATTTTATTTTTTATTTAGAGATAGGGTCTCATTAAGTTGCTTATGGCCTTGCTAAGTTGCTGAGACTGGCTTTGAGCTTAGGATCTTCTTGCCCCAGCCTCCCAAGCCACTGGGATTACAGGTATGTGCCACTGTGACCAGCTTGAATCTTAAATAATCATCTTAGTTCATATAATTATTGCTGGTCTATAGTGTCCTTCAGTCAGAGACAAAATAATAAGCACTGTGGTAGTTTACATAATAAAGAGAGATATTGTACTTTCATTTTTTTAAATAAAACCCCAAAGATAAGATGACAGCATCAGGCAGTTTGCAGGGAATACTACTCCAAACTGCAGAGACCTAATCCTTTTTTGGGTGGGTGGGGGGCTGGTACCAGATATTGAGCTCAGGGACATTAACCCTTGAAGGGACAAGAAGTCTGAGGAAGTGAAATATTAATGCCTTGGCTTTTAAGTTATTCAAATTTAACAAGATTTCTACCAGAGAGAAAATTGAGAGAGATTAAGGGCTGGTTCTAGGTTAGGCCATCAATTCATTGTTCAATGTTGGCTTTTCTGTGCACTCTCCCAGTTAGTGCCAAAATCCAGTTTGTTTACATTAAATCCAAATTCAGCACGGATACTTCCTTCCCACAAAATCATCTCCATACAAAATCAGATTCTCATACAACTGCACTCTGAAATAAGCTCTATGTAAAGATTCCTTAGCTGGCTCAGCTTCATATGTAACATCCTGGAACATGGCTACCCAATTAACACTGACTCAAATCTATTTTCACTCAAGAGTTGCTCTTAATCCCAGGTTTGACAACCTTAGGACAAAGAAAGTGTAGGATGAAAACCTTCCTTCCATATGGACCTGGACAGCACTGTTGAACTCATTTTCACTTCTGCATTCAGCCAGAAACTGATCTCAGACTTCCAGGGGTGAGCAGAAGTCTACCATTTTAGTCTAGAGGAGGGTGAGGACCACAGTGATGAGAAACTCTGGTCCTGAAATCAGTCCTGAGGTTGGCATATTTGGGGTTTTCTTTCTGCAGTACTGGATCAAATTCAGGGCCTCCCACAGGCTAGACAAGTGTGCTACCACTGATCCAGGCGGCCCATCCCTGAGATTTAAACCACAACTTCTCAGCTCTGGGGCTAGGCAATTCACCTTAAGCCTCTCCTGGATTCTGGGTAAATGGAGAAGATAATACCAACTATTTTGCAGGCTGACATGAGATTTATGGAAATAGGAGCCCATAGGAAGCCCCAGGTGAACAAGAGCTGCCACCATCCTATTTGTTTATAGTAGACCCAGAGATTCCAAGAGAAAACAAGTTCACCAGAACAAAGGCTTACCAGTTTCTGAACTTCAAATTCTGCAGTGATCTGCCAGTACCCCTCTTCATTGGGATACAACATCACAACATCAAAAGCGGAAGCTGTGGCAACTGTGGCATCGTCCTTGCTGAGGGCCAGCGCCTGTATTCTTGCATCATGCTCAAAATGATGAATAGGATACTTCCCAGTCCTCAAGTCCCAAATATTAAGAAATCCTAGGTAGAAAGAAACCATGCAGGTAACAACTTTAAATTCACTTAGTATGTATGATCTTATAAGAATCATGCAATCATTTTATTTTTCAAAATTCAACAAGAAATAATTGCACGGACATAACAGAGTCTACAGCTATCTGGTTGAATCCAGCTCCACTACTTGATAACTGTAGGACTTGGAGGAGTTACTCCATAGTTGTGAGTCTCTTTCTCTACCTGTAAAACTAAAGGTAACATTACTTACTGCACAGGACTGCTGGGCTTAGGAGACCAACTGTATAAAATGCTGAGGACGGGCCATTCCTAGTTATCTCCAATTTGTATGCATCCTATAGTGCCTGCTGTGTGTAAGTGTATTTAATCTACCAATAATGCTAATTTCCTTTCTATTGCTCATCCACAAATCCAGTCCCATTTCCTGTAACTTCCTATTGCCTAGAATAAAGCTCTTCATTTTTTTCTCCTTCCAGTCTATCTTCCCATCACCCTTTGCTCTTGCCTTGAATTTGGTCTCTGAACTATAAACGCCTTGAATTTTAGGTTCTTACTGTAAACTATCATTCAGCTCACATAAAGTTAAAAGAAAGTAATACATCTGGGCCACTTTGCAAGACTTTCAAACTGTCAGTAACCTAAGCAGGTGAGCACACAAAAGCAGAGCTTTCCTCAAGCTCAGCGTTAGAATATAAGACAGTGTGCTCTCTAAGGAGATGCAGATCCCGAAAGGCTCCACAGAACGACGCATTCCCCTGATGAATATTTTGCCAAATTCTCTCCATTCTGACTCAGAGGGAAAAGCTGTGCCACAGGAAATGCCCATAGTTTGCCCATTAGATAGGAGCTGGGCTCTCCCAGTCCAGGAAGTGCTGTCTTCACAGGGGGCTCTCGCAAATGCTCTGCACTGCATGTGTCTGCATGTGCTTTGAGACATTGCCACCAACAGTCAAGAGAAATAAAAGCTGCTACTTGCATGGAGCTTTCAAGGGTCCAGACTCCTTGTCTCCTCTCAGGGAGGCACATCAAGAACTCACTTTGAGAAGAAACAGAAGCTAAGCTGAAATTCAGCTAGAGAGGTGCAGGATGAGTGGCTATGTTTACAAGTGCATGAAATAACAAGGAGCGTGCTGAGTAACTGCCATACACCAACAAACTCACCCCGTTCTGCCAAGCATGGAGGCTGTTGAGCCACAGCTCACTCTAAGCACACATGGAGTTTATCTATAAACACATTTTTCACTATTGATTAAGTATTTTGGTTTTGTTGGCATCATTTTTCCAACAGAAGTGAAAGAACTGGATGCAATAAAATACACTTCACCCCCCAAAGTTGAGTTTCACAGAGCTATCTTGAGAAGGACTTTTTTGGGTTTTTTAATTTATTTTGGTATCAGGGATTGAACCCAGGGGTGCTTAGCCAGCCAGCCATATCCACAGCCCTTTTTAATATTTTATTAGAGACAGGGTCTCATTGAATTGCTTAGGGCCTTGTTAAGTTGCTGAGGCTGGCTTTGAACTTATGATCCTCCTGCCTCAGCCTCCCAAGCTACTGGGATTACAGGCATATGACACTGCACCCAGATAAGGACCTTTTTAGGGCTGGGGCTGGGGCTCAGTAGTAGAACACTTGCCTAGCATGTGTGAGGCCCTGGGTTCAATCCTCAGCACTACATAAAAGTAAATACATAGAATAAAGGTATTGTGAAAAAAATTCTTAAAAAAACAAAAAATGGACCTTTTTAGATAAAAATATATTCCAGGGCTCCATGAATTTAATGGCCATACAGTTCTCCAACATCCCTTTTAATGCCTAAGCATTAAGGACTGGTATTGCTTTTTGAAGAACTGACCCTTTATGATAAAGCAATGTCCCTCTGTACCCCTGGTTATAATTTTTTCTGTGAAATCCACTTTTTCTGTACTTGCCAAAACCACTCCAACTTTCTTCTGGTTACTGTTGGTAGCTGGATCTTCACCTTTTTACTCTGCCTCATGTCTTCAAAGTGGGTTTCTTATAGACAGTAAATAGTCTTGCTGTTAGCTGGGGTGTTTAGATTATTTAGTATACTTAATGTGATTATGATGAGGTTGGGCTTAATCTACCACTTTGCTATTTGTTTTCTGTTTGTTTCTGTTTGTCCTATCTGTTCTTTGCTACCTCCCCCCCCCCACTCTCTCTTTTGATTGTTTGGGTTGAGTTTGCATTGATATTATTTTGATTCCTTTGTTGGCTTATGAGTCAAAATTCTTCACTGTGTTATTTTATTTATTACTTTAGCATTTTAAGATGCATGACTGACTAAGCACAGTCTCCCTTCATGGGTATTTGCACCTCACAAAGTGGAGAACTTGACAGCAATATGCTTGCATTTCTCCCCTCCTAGCCTTTGTGCTCCTGGCATAGTTTTTATTTCTGCATTATGTGATAAGCCTTGCATACACTGTTATTTTTGCATAAGCAGGCAATTATCGTTTAGACTGATTTAAATAATAAGAAAAAGAGCCATTTCTTTTTACCCACAAAATCACCACTTCTGGTGTTCTTCTACTTACATCAACACTATAAAATCCTGCAGCTTCTGCAAGGTCTGCAATTTCCCTCTGAACTGTGTAGCTGGGTATGTGACCCAAAAGCACAGCTGCAAGAATGGGCACAGCAGCCGACAGAGAGGGATGTTTGAATGAAGGCTAATATTATAAATGGTCAACTTATTAGTAGTTAATCATGGCTACTTTTACAACCTCAAAACTTCAGAGTCTTGAACTGTGAATACTTGAATTATACAAATATTCTATAATACTGTAGTTGATCATCATCCATGTTGATAATCAAAAAGGAATTAATGTAATAATGCATTCAACAAATATTTATTGAGCCCCTGCTTGGTGCCCATACACTGCTGTAGGCACTGGGAATGCTGTAGTGAATCAGATAAAACAAAAAAGTCCCTGATTGCATATAACTGACATTCTAGTGGCATCTACAAAGTACCTTACCTGGGAGCACATAAAGATTAGAAGAATGTAGGGTTGGGGTTGTGGCTCAGTGGTAGAGCACTTGCTTAGTATGTGTGAGGCACTAGGTTCGATTCTCAGCACCATGTACAAATAAGTGAAAATAAAAAGTCCATCAACAACTAAAAAATATATTAAAAAAAGATTAGAAGAATGTGATCCCTATTTTCACAAAACACATACTAGAAGAAAACAAACATTTTAGTTACTAAAATGTAAAATTAAACACAACATAAAGTTTAACCTTCTGTCACAGTATCACTCCATTTTCAGGTCCCCAAAAATGGAGTGGCTAACTTTTCCAAAGACTTCAAGTTGAACTAGGTCCACATTCACTGCATGACTAAGGAAGAACTAGTCAATGCCTCTCAGAGCCAAAGAAATCTGCTTCTCAAATAGGTCTGTTTTAAACGAAATCTGATATAGATTCATTCAAAAGACCACGTTTTCTCCTATTGCAGATGCAGCAATGAAGAGACTTGGCTTTGGACATCGTGTGGATTTATAAAAGTGGCAGAGTTGTGTCCTTCTCTGCTCCCCACAGCAGTGAATTCTGAGTGCTGAACAGGGCCTAACATCAGTGAAGGCTTGCTGGATGTTTGTCTCATGTTTCAGTAAGGGAGCATTTGGTTGTAAGAAACAGAATCCAGTGAAATTGGCTTAAACACATGAGGAAAACAGACGGAAAAGGTACAGCTGTCATATAGCCCAAGGGTAGGAAATGCAAGAGATCAGAACCAGAACAAGGAAGACACTGAAAACAAGGCAGAGCTTGTCTTCAATTCTGACAGTTTCATTTTTTCTCTCTGCACAATCCAGCTTTCTCTTGTCCCTGAGTAGATGAAGAATGTGGCTGTCCCCATTCCACAAGGTCTTCTACTCTGAGCCCACAAGTCTGAGTCCGAGTCCACGAAAGGTTTCCCCATCCCTTGTCCAATCAGCTGAGGCCAAAAGGCAACTCAAATCCTACATACCTGCCTTCCTCTAGTGGGGCTGCAAAGGGACTTCAAAGCAAGGAGACACCCCAAAGGTGTCTACCACACCCACCCTGCATATTACACCAAAATCCTCAGCAAAGGCAAAGGGAGGTTCTAAGCAGCTTCTTGGTGATTTAAGAAGCAGGTCTCAGTTACCATTTCCTGCACCAGCCATGATCTGCCAGGCATAAGCCTTAAGAGTCAAAGTTGATGACCCCCATTTTGCCTCACATCAGTCTAGAAGGTGGAGCAGGTGTCGTTTTACGTTGAAATCTGATGTGGTGCTGGGATGAATGGTACTGCTCTCCTCCCAAGAAATATGAAAGGATGCAGACAAAGGAAACTGGGTCTTTCTAAGACTCTGAAAGAAGATAATGAGGACAGACCAAGGCCCCCCAAATTAGGTGGGGGCAGGGTCTGGCAGCCCCACCTGCTTCCTGAGCTCAGGACTCTCCACCTTAATGGAAAGAAAAGAAGACTTGACGGAAGGAACTCCAGTGGCCCTAGACTAGCAACAGCCATTAATGATGACATGAGTAATGAGGGCGGCTTTTGGAGAAGACATAAAGCTGCTCAGCAGCTGTGGATGGGCACCCATGCCAGTTTGCAGCACGCCCCTCCCACCTCCCAGAGGAGGCCAGCCAGAGTGTGGTAATGAAACTGCATATAGTGGAAATGGGATCTAAATGAGTTTAAACTGATTTATGTTAGCTTTTGTAAAGATTACTAGGTATCTGGAAAGTGCTACCACTGTGAAATAATGTTGACAATCCTTAAGACCTCTGCCTAATGGTACTTGCACAGAGTATTTATATTCCTCGTCATGGGAACAAGGACCATAATGGATACCATTTTTGTTTTATTAGGGATGCATATTTAAATTAATCTGCTATTTGCCTAAACAATTAGCTGCTTCTGTTTGTGTGCACAAAGCCAAAACTGCAATTAGGCTTCCATCAAAAAGATAAGTCCCAACTAAAACTGTCCCGGTGGAGCCATAAGAGCTCAGGG